ATGTGTCCGGTGAGGATGTCCAGCGTCGTATAACACACTTTCCGATAGTAGAGATTATATTTTGGAATTTGATTAAAAAAAAAAAAAAAAAAGAAAAGATCTACACTTGGAATATTTTCTAAATTTGGTGATTTCAATTTCTTTCCATTATTTGCGCTAACCGTGGCTATTAATTCTGTTTTGGTCATCCTTTCGTGGCTTTCAATACATTGACAGTTGTGTATGCTACATGAATGCTCCTTTCTTTAAATTCTATGTTTTGGGAGTTATTCACCAAAGTTTTCTTTTTTTAAGGTAATTAACGCACAGTCTGTCCTTGGTGGGCTTTTTATTAAAGTGTTACTCCAACGTCCATGATCACTTCAGCTTTTTGAAGCAGCCATGGAGGAATGAATCGGCTTTAAACACTGCACAACCAGAGTTATTACTACTGGCTGGTTACCCTTCTGGCACATGTGACATTGACAGCCCCGAACTTTGTTCTGGACTACCTAATATCAATTCTGTGCATAGTTTGTCTGTTGTCCGCGCACACTGCACTCTGGCAATAGACGTAATGTGATTACCCCCTTGCAGGTACAGCCTGCAGGGGAGTCTTATGCCTCCCCTCCTCCCTGCCTGCATCCTTCCCACCTGTCGACCCATTTCGTTAATTTCTTTTAAACTCCCTCAGCTATTCCTCTTGCTGGCTCAGAGCGTACACATGTGCACTGAGACGGCTAAATGGTTCTCTATGAGAAGCTTTTGATTGGGCCGCGAGTCAGCTGCCGTGACATCAGAAATGCAGATTAAGGAACAGCGCACACACAAAAATAGTTTTACATTTTACAAGGATACTTAAAATCACCCATCTCAGCAAACAAATACAGGGATTCAGTTCCACCATATGGCCATATTGTATCAAACCCACCACTACTTCACAGTACCCCAGTATCGGTGGGTCCTACACTAATTTTAACATGGAAGATCAGGAATCGGCATGGAAATAAGTAAGGTAAATAAAAAATATTTAAACCTGTTTTAGTGATTGAGGGGGTGGAACCTTTAAGGGTCAACTGACCTCTTCCTTTAAAAAAAAAAAAAATATATGTAAAGCCCCAAAACAGTCTGTGTTATTTGAACTGTGACGGTATACTATTATTGTAACCATTTCTCTCTCTCCACAGGACTTCAACTTCACAACAATTTTTAATTCCTCGCGTAGTCGCAAAAGCTTGAAACGGAGTGACCAATTTTTTTGTGAACTATGTGCGCCAAATGACGAGGCTACAAAATGGATTTAATTACTGTGTGGAATCAAAATAGGGATTTCTTGTTAATTGTCTTTTTTTTTTTTTCTAATCAGCATATTTTTTTAAATGATGATTTATTTATATCCGTGGAATTTCACAGAATGTTCATATTGTTAGATTGGCAGACTCTGGACGAGGTTAATGGGAGTAATAGCCCAGACGACAGGGACAGACTTTGCCTCTCTATAGGGTGAAGGGAGTAGAAAATTAGATTAAATGTGTAAATGTACATACAGAAATACATACACATAAACTGCTGCTGGAGACCGTACAATGCACATATTTTAATAGAATGTCTGGAAACTGTGTAGATATCACGGGTCATGACAAAGGTGGAACTATTGAAATCTGGACATCAGTATAACAGATTTAGGGTCCACGCAGTCCCGCATGCACTCCTCAGCAATAAATACACTACATCCCCTGTGATTACAGTCATAAAGAAATCAGAGATAATGCCAATTCAAAGCCTTTGTTTTAAAAACTAGTTGCTTTACTGTGCATTAAATGATAAACTAAGGGTTCACGTATCAGGAGAGCTCAGTCAGATTGGACATTCTCGGATCATCTGACTTTTTTTTTCTTATCCTGCTTTTACAGGAGGGCTGCCTGCGTTTGGTGCGTCCCAGTCACTTGGGAAACACAGGTTAGAAAACCCTCAATGTTACAGTTTGAACGATTAGTTCATTGGACTGGTGATCAGTCTGTGCATGCACAGCGGATAGGCAATCAATCAGTTTGCCCATGCACAGCTTGTTGGCCAGTTAGTCGGCGCATGTAAAGCACATTGTTTTCAGGCTACACATATACAGCAAGTTAGATAATTTCCCTGCACACGTACAGTACATTGGAGAAACAGGACACAGTGTTCCAAAGCAGGATAAATCAGGACAGGAAGTACATTTTAAATACCCACCAAATAAAAAGCAAAGAATGTATCAATGCATTATTTCCTCGCACATATTTTCTTATAGGAAATATATTTTAAAAAGTGTGTACATTTTTCTTTTAGGCCTTTCTTCTGTAGAATTTATACAACATTTATTATACAAGAGTAAGATTAAACATAATGGCACCTTTTCTGTTGTCCTATCCATGCACTAGGATTAATAACTGTTAATAAAAAATAATATAGGATCGTGGAAGGGAAACTACTGCCTGTTGCTGCTGTGAAATTAAAATCCCCACTGCTTGTTGGACAAGGATGATGAGAGTTGTAGTTCTCAGCAGCCATAGTGTCAGAGGTTGCTTTTTCCCAGTAGAAGGAGTTTCTAGTATCCCAGTTAGCGAACTTGTGTCACCTCAGCAGCTGCAGAACTAAGTCTATACTTCTTACCGCTAGACTGTCACTAAGCTACTTGTATATAGTAGCTGCAGAGATACTTGCTATCCTACCCTGCTTGATCTTGGGTTAGTTATTACAAGCCATTAACAAGCAGGTAGGCACTCCAGATGTGGTGGACATCTGCCCTGATGGTTTGCCTGTATTATGGCTGTAACAGCATTATGGGAGATGTAGCCCACATCAGGACTGCCAGACTTTGCCTACCCCAGTGACCAACTCATAAGGGGCTGATGATCAGATATTTATTAAAGGGGCAGTAAACCCCATTCTCCTCCACCCCAGAAATAAATGGAAGCACAAGTTCATGCATGTATGCCTTCAGCATGACACTTGGTTTCAGCATTAACCCCTTAAGGACCAAACTTCTAGAATAAAAGGGAATCATGACCTGTCACACATGTCATGTGTCCTTAAGGGGTTAAACTAATATGAGTCAACATGTGCTGACTGCATAGACACCTGTTTAGGTAGACTACAATGTCTTGTGAAAGAAAGTTACAGAGACTGCAATGTATATCTTACAAGTAACATTTAGGTAAAAAGAGACAAATCCAAATTACAGGTTGAAAGATTACCTTGAAAGTTTCCATACTTGGTACAAGGTTTAGCGGTTTCCTATTTTGGGGAGGAGGGGTAGGGCAATCCTAATTTTCCTTACTTTCTCTTAAAGTTCACGTATCCACTACAATTGTCCCTGAGCCATTACATAAGTTAGACCTTTGCGTCCCAAAGGCTTACAAACTTTATGTTTTGCCTAGCTCTGATTTTCAAAAATATTTTACATTTACTGTGTGGTTGTTTGATAAATGTTGTAAAAATAAAATAAATATTTTCCTATAACAAAAACGTGTTCATTTTATTAGTGCTTTTAATATATAATTTAACCTACACATTTTAATTAAAGGGACACTACAGCTTATTGCAGTGGTTCTGGTGAGTATAGTCAGGCCCTACCGTAAACACTGCCTTTTCAACGAAAAGAGTTTACATTACAGCCTAGGAACACCTCTAGTGGCCACTCCTCAGATGGCTACTAAAGGTAATTCCTGGGTCAGTGCTGCATACTCTGCTTCTCCATCCTCTGCAGGGAGACGCTCAACTTTCCTTATAAAAATGCATTAGTTCTTTGCATGTCTGAGTTTGGCTCTGCCCCTTCCCCTTGAATGAGATCAACAAAATTGACTCTCAGCCAACCCAGTGCTTTCTTATGGCAAAGCATTATGATTGGCTGATGATGAATTCTGATTAGGTCAGCCAATGAGGCAGATGAGGGGTGAGGATAACCGCAAGGAGTCCCGTACAGCGCTGGAAAAAGGGAGTAAATCAACTTTCTAACCCGATGTAAGAGTGCCAACCACCTAAATGCTGGTTTTAGAAACAAAGCGGCAGGAATACTTGTTTGTGTTCCTGAAACTATAGTGCCTCTTTAAATATAGATGTTTTCAGGTCAACAATACATATATTTTAGTGTATTTGTTTCTTCATTTGTAAATAGAGTTTGTGTGTTTGATACCTTTTGGATAGTGTGTGTGTATTAAACATTTGTAAGTGTGTTCTTGCATTGCTGTGTGAATTAGTAAAGTATGACCAAGATGCCTGGAGGCTTTGTCAATAAAACCGTTCTTGTTAAACAAAAAAGGCTAATAATATTACATTCCAGCCGCCCGTGACGTTTTCCCATGTGATGCTAATCGGAAGATAATTTTTGATCCTGAACCCTATGGAAGTTCATTTTTCCAGGCAGAAAAGTGCTAACATTATATATATATATATATAAAAAAATAAAAATAAAAAAAACAGATCAACTGAATAAGCAGGGACTACAGGTATGGTCTCCTAGCAGGACATAGATAGGCTGACAATCTGTTATATAATAATGATTTGACAAATTACCCTGGGAGAACACCACAACACCCCTTCTGCCATAATGATAGATCGGTCTGCCACATATTGCAAGCTTGTTTGAGCAAGGCTTTCCTCACACATTACTCCCCCCCCCCGCGTAATATTTCAAGCTGTATTGGTTATGGTACTTGGGGTGTTTAAGCACCAAAACATACATTAATACATAAAATATATATATATATATATATATATATATATACACACACACACACACACATATACACACACACACACACATTAAAATATATATTTTAAACATATTACTCCCCATATTTTGTATGTGGGGTGTATCTAAACTGTTAATAAGTATTAATGTGCACATGTAACTAACATTTCATTGTGCTTGGCACTGAATAAAAAAAAAAAAAAAACACGGGGGAACAAAAAAGTAAACAGACCAGTTTTTGGCAGAATTTTTTTAAAATGTGTTTTACAGTGCTACCTAATAATAATTTCCTTATGCTTGTAAGAAAAACAAAAAAGAAAGAAAAACCAACACTACAAAAGGGTAGATTGGGTGGGGCAATGACAACCACAGTAATTATAATCACTTAAAAAGTTTAAAGCCAACATCAGCCCCTTCTCCCCAGAAAATTCACAAATACACCCCCTACACAGCCATCTTTATCTCTAATTTGCTGTTAAATTCAGCAGTACTATAATAAGATGTCCTCACTACCCTCCATGCATTACAATACATATTAAGCAGAGCCAGGGTGCTTTACACCTTTAGTGTTCTACACAAAGTACTTCACAGAATTACAATGTATAGAAAGAATACACAGAATACACTGTACATGACAATATTTTGGTAAAGAGGATTTTTCTAGTTACTTCAAAGTCAAAAAAGAAAGAATTCCCACACCTAAACCACATCTTAGTAGAATAAAATAGGTTTTATTTTACTTAAACTCCACTACTTTTCCCCTTTTGCCAAAATAAAAGTTAAACCAACATACTTCTTCAGTAATCCCTAAGCAACATGAAAACTTCAAAATATGGCTGAGGATTTAGAAAGATATCCTACATTAAAAGGGACACTAGGCGCCAGACCACTTAATCTCATTGCAGTGTCTGGTTTCAGTGTCCGTGTTACCGTTTTAAAGAAACCGCAGTGTTAAGACTGCCTCTAATGCTGGTCTACCAGACAGCCCAGCAGGTTGAAAAACATTGAGGCAGAGCTGGGGGAAGGCCTAATGAGAGCATGCCCAACATCAGAGTAACCAGACCCAGCGGCGAGGCACATTGGTGCAAGTTTTTTTTTTTTTTTTTTTTTAATACCTTTACATTGGTTTCAGGGGCAGGGGTTGCATAGGGAGTGGGACACTATAGTGTTAGGAATAAATCATTGTATTCCTAACACTATAGTGTGCCTTTATATTAAAAAAAATAAAAATAAATCACATGTAACAGCCTGAACGATAATAGTCCAACACAAATTCAAACAGTATGCACTGTAATGTGCCCATCAAGATAGATAAAGCTGGACAGAAATAATAGATGTTGTCTACTCTGCCTACTAACACATATCTTTCTGCTTCACTCTGCAATCAGTCTCTAAACGCTAAGCAGTTTTTCCATCTACATTTATTTATTTTCTTTGCCTCATTTTGCATCACACGTTAACTAGCATACACAAATTCAGCTAGTATAGCAGTTTTATCCAGGAGATAGGGGCCCTCGAAGGCACAGATATAGCTGCAGGGTGATTAGTATCCTTCACCACTAACCTTAGCTCTGCATATATTAGAACTAGCCAATATTTTATATTTGGCAACAAACTTTGCAGCCAACTATATTTAAATAGAATAGCATATCTCAAAACACACACATATATATATATATATTCTCCCCTTCTGCTTCATTCTGCAATCAGTCTCTAAACGCTAAGCAGCACTAACAGGCTCTCCAACATTGCCTATAATTCAGGCAACGTTTGGAGTTAGTAGGCAGACTAGACATCTATTATTTCTGTCTAGCTTTATCTATCTTGATGGGCAAATTACAGTGCATACTGTTTGAATTTGTGTTGGATAATTATAGTTCAGGCTTGTGGAATCATATATGCTTTCATGCTTAAAGGGACACTCTAGTCACCTGAACAACTTTAGCTTAATGAAGCAGTTTTGGTGTATAGAACATGCCCCTGCAGCCTCACTGCTCAATCCTCTGCTATTTAGGAGTTAAATCCCTTTGTTTATGAACCCTAGTCACACCTCCCTGCATGTGACTTGCACAGCCTTCCATAAACAAAGCCCTAGTTGGGCTTTCTTTATTGCAAGTTCTGTTTAATTAAGATTTTCTAATAGCTTGCTAGACCCTGCAAGAGCCTCCTGTATGTGATTAAAGTTCAATTTAGAGGTTGAGATACAATTAAGGTAAATTACATCTGTTTGAAAGTGAAACCAGTTTTTTTTTTATGCAGGCTCTGTCAATCATAGCCAGGGGAGGTGTGGCTAGGGCTGCATAAACAGAAACAAAGTGATTTAACTCCTAAATGACAGTGAAATTGCAGGGGAATGATCTATACACTAAAACTGCTTTATTTAGATGACTATAGTGTTCCTTTAACCCCTTAAGGACACGACATGTGTGACATGTCAGGATTCCCTTTTATTCCAGAAGTTTGGTCCTTAAGGGGTTAATAAGTTGCAACAGCTACCATATATATTGCAGCATTTGATAGCTACTTTTCTGTTACATTTTCTAGTGGTCTGCCCAGCCCTATTCATCAATAATTATACTTTAATGCTTATAGCTAGATATCTAAAACGTTTCTTAAGTCCGTCTACAGTGACCTTCTAACCAATGTCAATCCGTTTAATACTGTTTTAATTCCACATATCTCTCCTCAATCCCTCTATGAACATTGAGGTTTTTTGAGAGTAATCTTTTTTGTATCTATTACTATTGTATTTTCACTATTAAAAGCTATGTTAATTATTTCACTTAGGACAGTGTTTCTCTCATTTTTCTCCCCAAATTTCTAATCAGGGTTAACCCCTTCACTGCCCTATAGATCTACTCTATAAAGCAGGCTTCCACTCTTGTTTTTAATGCCGGAGTTGTGGTGCACGGCCTCTCCTTTTGTGCCCATAGTTCACTGTTGTGCAGGAATCTATAGGATAAGTTCTGCAACGTCATTGAAAGTCAATAACATGATTGGCCAAGTCACAACATGGTCTGAGCTGAGCTCACAACAGAAGGTGCAAAGTCTGGGAAGAACTTAAAATATATATTGTCCAATGGTTTCTGCATATTTTTTTGATTTTGTGACGGTATCTGTACTGGTATACACCAAACTGAAGGAGACATGTTAATTTGAAAGTTTTTTTTTTTTATTTTGTACCGACAACCAAAATCCAATACTTTATGTAAAATGAAGCCATTACATGGTCAGCTTTAATCAGTATCAATTTTCTTCAGTTCTGATGATTTGGGCCGACATCTGTGATAGTATTAAAAAGGGATACCAAAGCACATAACCCCATTGTACAGCGCTATGGAATCTGATGGAGCAATATAATAATCCACTACATGCAGTGGTTTCGGTGCATAGATTGAATAATTTCCTCGGACAAAAACAAACATTACTATTTGTGAGAATTAACTTGTCTGACAACTAGGGACTATCATACTGAATCAGTAGTGGGCTTGCTAATTAATGCTGTATTGTTAAATTATCAGGTTCCATTTTTAAATTTAAAATTCCCCTCCATTTGCCTTTGGAAATTCGCCATACATAAAAAGTATGCACTAACATGCAGCTTTTGTTCTTTGGCAATAGGCACTACTTAAAAGGAACAATCTGGGCACCTATCTAACTAAAAAGGACACTCCAGCCCCCTAACGCACTTCAACTTGCTGAAGTGCGTGTTGTGTTTTTGATTGAGATAAAACGTAAACAAAACTTGGAATTTGACCATATGTCTGTTCACCGGTAATTCACCTCTCTCATATTAAAAAGCACCCACACTTATTATATATCATTTTATTCAGGAGAAATAGTGCTTTCATATAACATATTTAGCTATGAAATATATGAATAAAATATTAAAAGAAATGTTATTTTTAATTCTGCATGACATTTTAACTGTGAATGTCATAATACGTTAGCTTTTACTGCAATAAAACACATTTGTATTCAGCGATGTCTCGCGTGTAAAACAATACCCCCCTCTGTCCAGGTTTTATGGGGGTTTTGGGAAGTTACATTTTTTCCACATTGAAATACGCCGGATTGGTTACGTTGCCTTTGAGACCTTATGAGAATTACTCCCATGATGGCATACCATTTGCAATAGTAGACAACCCTAGGTATTGCACATGGGAGAGTTTCCCATTTTTTAGTAGCCACAAACACTGGCCAAAGTTAGCATTAATATTTGTGTGCGAAAAACCAATTTGAACCCCAATTTTGGCTAGTGTTTGTGACTAAGTGGCTACTAAAAAGACTGGACATACCCTATTTGCAATACCTTGGGTTGTCTACTTTTGCAAATGGTATGCCAGCATAGGGGTAAGTCTCATTCCTGGGCTACCATACGGTCTCAAAGGCAACGTAACCAATCTAGCTTATTTCAATGTGAAAAAAACCTGAAAAGCCTTATATTTGACGCTAATGTACAGGGTTTTATGGTGTGTTGGAAAGCAACAGGGTTAAATAAATATAGTGCTAGCAAATTAAATTCTCTGGACGTTCTGGCAGGTCCCGCGAATTGTAATTAAGTCATTTTATTAATTATGTAAAATCTTTACTTAAATGTATACGTAGAATTAAAATACACACTGTTCCAAGTATTTTGAAGAAAAAAAAGTTAGATTGTATTTTGAGAGTATAATTAATAGAGATATATCTCTATATCTATATCTCTCAAAATACAGTTAGAACGAAATTACATATATTTTTCATTAACGTATTTATATAATATTCTGTGTATTTTGATATTCATATATTATTAAAAATACACTGAAACACACACCAAGTATATATTTTACACTGTTTTTAACCATTAAACTTGCTTCATTACCGTCAGCAGGGGGACTACCGGTCATTCCAGGCACTCCTAATCCGCCCATGTGAGAGGTCCTCGTAAGGACCTCGCGATCACATGGGCCAGATCAGATGCAGCGGGGACGGCTTGGGATGCCAGGCAAGCCCCTCCCTCCCCCATCGTGATGGGCGTATCACCAGCGAGCAGTTAAGTCCCCTGGACATACTATGATGCCCACCGGCATTTACAGCCAGATCCCCAAGGACGGTATAGCATGCCTGTCGTCCTTAAGGGGTTAATTAACCTTGTTACCACAACCTGGCTGTCATTCAACATGTCCTGTTATTACATGGTTTGTCAGTGGAGGTAAACCTAAGAGGTAACAACTGACAAGAGTACCTGCCTTGCAAAGACTTCTCATTAAGCTGCATTGGGAAGTCTGTAATTGGACAGCCACAGAACGTCTGGGCGAAGTTAGAAGGGAAGGGCTTGCAAAGGCTGCAGACAATAGAACTGCATTTTTTGCAAGCTATTGTAGTATAAGGAAACCAAAATCTAATCAAAAGGATACAATTATAGTTTTCCAAAAGTATAATTAGAGTGCCATTTAAAATAGTTATTTCAGCTCTAAAGCAAAATTTACACACAATCTGTCAAAAGAATCCCACTGCAGACATCACAGGTAGAGTATGACAAAAGAACAGCACACGATGTTGAAACACAGTGCAGAGAAAGAATATAAAGTCATCTAGCGGTGGAATATAAACATAAAACAAGGGCCATAAAAAAAAAAAAAAAAAAAAAGTCTTTGAGTGTTTTAACAATGCTACCTTTCACAAGCCATTTTAAACACGAATAACCCAAATTATTCGTTAGATAAATGTTTTCTGTAACACACCCGGTACCATATGAAATGACAAAAACAAAACTTCCACAAACCACAGGGAGGGGGAATTCCAGATCCAATTTGATTTCCCTTATACTGCATATTCACGTTAAACATGCCATCAGGACATGAAAACATGTTGAATCAGACATTGGAGTGTCGCCTGTGTTCCTTGTTGTTGAGCTTAGACTTGTGAACTTTGTCTATAGCAGCTTGAGAATATTTAAACATGGGCTTGGGATACATTTTTAAGGTGCCAACAGTGTCCCTTTAACCATGAAGTGGTTTCTTGGAACACCCAGAATTTGATTTTGCAAGTCAAGAAACCATATTATAATATTTTTACAATTAAAAGCATTTATTAAATGTAAGAAAACTAGAAGTCCAACAACTCAAGATAAAAACCTGCAATATTTATAATAAAAATAAGTTTTATAACTAAATAATATGTTGCATTTTACTGTTGGGAGCAAAGAAAAATCCCAATATATACACACTCTTGCAAACAGAAAGCTTGATAAAAATAAAAAAGTCGTGTTATTTACCAAGCTTTGGATTGTTGCAAATTTACAAACTGAAAAATCCAAGTGTTAACTAGTTTAAGGTACAGCCAAACATTGCCCCTTTTCACCAGTGATAATTACTGGAACATTCAAGACACTGACACGGTTACAATCAAAAACACAACCCACAGTATAATGTGCCAGTATGTGTGAACAAACAAAACCAAAAGCATGTGCCATAGTGATAAAGATACAACAATAATACAAGGAGCAGGAAACAGTGACTGATCGTGTTTTTTCTAGAATGAGTTATACATTTACAGGCAATTGGTCGCATTGATGTCAGTCAATCTGCAGTGTTACACCATTCTTATTAACAAAACCCATGATCAGGACTGGTCTGTTCGGTGTGGGGTAGAAGGGGGAAAGGTAGGGGTGCCAGCATTCTTTGCTACATTAATCTGATTCTGTAGCACTTTGTTCAATAGTGGCTTTAGTAAACCTATGGTCAGAGAACTGCTAACATCACAGGAAAAAGGAGAGCAGACTCCGGATTTGGGAAGATTTTGTAGGACAATGCGCAGGACATCAGTTGGAGTTATATCATCTGGGCATATTTCACAAAGCTGGTTAATATATGGGTCCAAATGTCTATGCTTGACAAATTCCACCAAAAGAGTAATAAAAATGTCTTTTGTAATAACTGAACTCAATTCAGAAAACTTTTTGGTCTCTTTTATAACCCTCTCCCATCGTTGGAAGCCAATCAAAATATGAATAGCCTGAATGATTGCCAGGGGTCTTCCACTAGATAACAAAATGTCAATCTCCAATTCCCGATCAATAGTAGTGTTTGCCTTTGGTTTACCGAGAATGGACAGTGCCCGCTTATACAACGGCACACTCTCACAGTTATCTTTGTTGCTGTAGCCCCAGGAAAGCCCAGAACAATCTTGGGCAAGCTTAACAAAACCAGGTAGCCACTTGGGTTTAAATTTGTACAAAGACTGGCAGATCACCTCAAAGAGTGGATGTACTCCATTTTGCTCCTTTGATCCAGTTGGAAGTGGTCCCAACACCTTTTTCCACAAGTCAGCAGTTGCTCTAACTACAAGTTTGCCATCACCATTTTGCTGAAATTGAAGGTTGTTCCTCATGGCCACCCAAGAAGCTTTGGGGAACATACTGAAAAGAGAGTTTATATACACCAAATTCTCTCTATCCAAGTCTGTGTGAAGAAGCCGATCAATTTCTTTGCCCACTAAATCTTCACAACAGGTTTCCATCTCATTTTCAGCGGCATTAATAATACAAGGTTTAAGAAGCTCAAGACTTAAGTAGTTCTGTAACTCATTGTTCATGGCGCTTAAGAGGTCAGCATACTTTTCATCCATGAAATTCTCTTTTTTCTGCAAGTGTTTTAGTATAGTCAATAATGTAATGGGTGCTTGAAAAATCCCTTCCTGCTTGAAAGAATGCACTGTAAGCTTAGTACTGTTGAGACTCCTCTTTTGATAGTACTTGCAGGATTCTTCAAAAATCATTTCTAGCAATGCTGGCTCCAATCTCTCATAGCTTTCAGCATTCCCAGTAGAAATGCCAATTGTATAAACCCCATTCTTTGTTAGGAACTGGACAGCCTCTGTTTTGAAGACTTTCAAGAAAACCAGACCATCTGAACTTAGTATTTTCTTCTCAATCAGCCTTCCTGTGTGTAGGTCAATGAGATACAAGGCAGTGTCCAGCGCACAGGCCAATGTCCCCCCAAAGACCTGCATGGCAATCTGTTTATCACACACATCCTGCTTTTCGAAGTTATAAACACGTCTGACTGCCCCATCTGGGCACAGGAGGTAAATCTGCCCACTGGCATCCATTAGTAAGAGTTCTTCAGTCCCAGTGGCTGCACAGCACCAGGTAGCCATGTGGCCCTGGGAAGCCATGGATCCCAGATACTCGCCCACCATCTTCTGGAAGTCG